TGTAGGAGGCTTTCAGAGAGCTCCTGGGGGCTGGGGGGGGGGAATTGAGCAAAAATCAGCCGGTTTTTCACTCATTTCTGCCCTCCCCAGCCCCCAGGAGCTCTCTGAAAGCCTCCTACAGGCTCTGCACGGCCATTTTTGTGAAGGGGGCGGGGTTTTGGGAGGCAAAAAATGCTATATTCAGTGTATAAGATGCACTCAAGATTTTCAGCCTCTTTTTTGAGGGAAAAAGGTGCGTCTTATACTCCGAAAAATACAGTATGCAATTCTAATGATAAACTATAAGCAGATATTAGGAGGGAAGAATAAACGTTCACCATTAGGTAATTACACAGGTAACCATCCATGTTCCCACAATCAATGTCTCTTCCTTTAGAAAAGTGCTGCATTGGGTTTTGCCTGCCTAGTGTGCATTTGAGTATTTTAGAGCAGAACGTAAAAGTCATCCAGACGGACACAACCAAATGCTTTATTTAGGATGATGTGAGTCCTTTTCCACGATCAGGCACTGAATTATTATTCTTTCAATAAAATTTTCTGGTTGAAAATTGGTATGGTGACAATTAGTGCACAAACTCAAGCTTGAATCCTGTTCAGCTCAGGATTGCCTTCCTTTCAAATAAATATGGCAGCATTTAGCAATAGCAACAGCATTTAGACTTGTATATCACTTCACAATGCTTTACAGCCCTCTCAGTTTACAGAGTCAGCAGATAATCTGCGTTCCTATTTTACCAACCTCGGAAGGCTGAGTCAGCCTTCAGCTGGTCAGGATCGAACTGCTGGCAGTTGGCAGAGTTAGCCTGGAGTACTGCATTCTAACCACCGCGCCACCCTGGCTCTTAGTAGTAGATCAGCATATGTTAATATCAGAATGGAGTACCTTGGTGGCATGGATTTCATGTTGCTTTCTGGCTCCTCAAATACATTAGGACTGGCATCCGGAGTAACAGATATATAAGGCGCAGGCACTGAAGTTGAACGCAAATATCTCATCTCATCTTGAAAGAGGTTCTCATCTTGATAGCCCACAAAGTTTTCGTGATGATGCCTGACCCAAAAAAATAACAGTAATGCACATCGGTAAAATCAAATGTTTATATCCGTGGGGTGTCAGAGGAGGAGACGGGGTCAGCATCAAGGCAACCTGAGAGCTCCGATGGGGAAGAGCGAATGGAGCTGGCAGACAGAGACAGAGACGGAGCCTGGGCTGTCCGTCAGCCCTCAGAGGGAGAGTCAACAGTCCCAAGGTCTAGAGGTGGCTGATGAGGAAGAGGAGGAACAGCTGGGTCCAGTGCCTGACGCGCCAACGGCAAAGGAGAGGAGAGCAGTGGAAATCTGTGGGCTGATCCTTGGGAAGGAAGAGCAACCACTGCTAGCAAATGTCCACCATACCTCTGGGGATAAAAGGCAGGGGGTGGAGATGAATAGATGTGGCAGACAACTATTTATCTCCCTTGCCAGACAGACTTGTTACCCTGAAGGGAACTCAATTCGGTGAAGTGGAATCCAAGCTGAAATAATAATGATGAATTTGTGAAATAATAATGATGAATCTGTCTAGTAACCTAGAGAGAATTATTTTGCATCTCTTTAGGCTGGACTGAGTTAAAAAACTGAACCAGTCCAGTCAGAGGAGGCGTGGCTGGCGATTTGCATAACTCAGTCTCTAGGCTAATGGACAAAGTTAACCCATGCTTGGATTCCCCAAGCAGCGCACAGGAGAAGAGAAACTTCTTGCCGTGGCTGCCGGCGCTCCTGATAAAAGGAATCATTGCTTCAACTACAGAGGCTTTGTTGTGTTTGGGGAGCTTGGTCAGAACATTGGGAATACAAAGCCTTCCAGTGAGACAGAGGGGTTGACAAGAATATGAGAAAGATTAGAAACCCTTTTGGATTATATATAAAGGTTAATAATAGTAATAATAAAAAGAATTTAGATTTAGTTAAGTCTTGATTACTAGGGGGAAAAATGATATGATGCAGGATATAGTCAAATAAAGGAGGGATAATGATAATAACGTGTGTGTGTGTGTGTATATATGTATGTATGTATGTATGTATGTATGTATGTATGTATGTATGTATGTACGTACATACGTACGTACGTACGTACGTACAATATAAGGAAATGAGATGTAAATTGTAAACAGCGATTTGGAAAGGATAGAAAATTTTGTTATTAAATATTATAGATGTTTAGCTAGAATAGGACATAAGGATTTAGTGTCATTGGAGGATTGTAATGTAATGTAATGCCAGTATGTGGCTATGTATTAAACCTTGGTATATTTTATGATGAAGGACATTTAAACAACTATAGTCAAATGAAAATGGAGGTATGATGACGGTAATATGTATAAATATCTGAGTTAAAATACTTGAGTTAATATAAATTATGCTTGGTGACTAGGGAAGAGAAGCACGAAGGTTTTTTTTAACCAACTGATACACTTTCTACAGTATGTAAAAAAGGAAGATTTTTTTTTTGAAACTATTTTTTATTATCGTTTTTTAATTTTATTTTATCAATTTCATATATGCATTCACAATTATATAATCTCATAACTGTTATTAATAATATGTATTTATAACAATTTTCCCTACTGTTGACAATATACTTGAAGATTGCTTTTTTATCATCCCATAGATCCATCTTATCTTACAACGGTCCTACTTCTTACCTCCCTCCCTCTTTCCTTCCCTCGTTTCTTCTCTCCTACTCCCCTTCCTTCCCTCCCTCCTTCCCCTTCCCTCCTTCTCTCCTTCCTTCCTTCCCTCCTTCCCTCCTTTCTTTTCTCCTTCTCGCCTTCCTTTCCCTCTTCCTTTCCTCCTTCCTTCCCCCTTCCTTCTCTCCTATGTTCCCTCCTTCCTTCCCTCCTTCCTTCCCTCCTTTCTTCTCTCCTTCCTTCTCTCCTTCCCTCCTTCCTTCCCTCCCTCCTTCCCTCCCTCCTTCCTACCCCCTTCTTCTCTTTCTTCTCTCCTTCCTTCCTCCCCTTTACCCTTCCCCTCTTCTTCCCATTCCTAAAAGGAAAATTTTATGTGTTATGTTTGTTTTGAAAATTAAAAATAAAAAAAAACTTAAAAAAAAAAAAAGAATATGAGAAGGTCATCCTAGACTGGTAGCCATAAAACCGCATGGCTGTCTCCATGTAGCACTTGGAGTCGAGATTAGCTCAAGGGGGAAACATCTTTCCAATTTGATTTAGTGATTCTCATAAACATGGACATTAAAAAAACAACAGCTCCATTGCTCTTACCTGGCTAATGTTTGAAGATAGAGGCAAGGCATTTTCACGGGGAAATCCTCAGAAATGCCTTCCTTGACACTGGGAAGCTGGGACTGGAATGGCTTGGATGGGTGGTAGCACAAAATCGAGGGCTCAGCGGCGCTGCTCAAGGCCAGCAAGAACAGGGCATTCCCTTTGATCACTTGGTGGGCTTCCATGGTGGGCAAGGCACGGGGGGTCTTCACCTGTGTTGGCTTCCTTCTCGACTGTTTGACCTATAAAGAAATAAGTTGAGACCGGCTACCTGAGAGCAGAGCCCAAGCAGGCCTTTGGTGCTCAAAAGTGATCATCTATATGTCTTGTGTGCTGAGATCTTCCCTCTCTGTCCACAAAGGATCTGCTGGTCTTGTGACCAGAGGTGGTATTCAGCCAGTTCTGACCGGTTCTGGGGAACCGGTAGTGGAAATTGTGAGTAGTTCGGAGAACCGGTAAACACCACCTCTGGCTGGCTATCTATTTGCTGCCTCCCGAGCCCCAGCTAATCGGCTGGGTCTTCTTCTGTTGCTCTGCACAGGAGAACAGAGCTGGAAAGTTGGTTAGTGGGCTGGGGAGGGAATGGAGATTTTACAGTATCCTTCCCCTGGAATGGGGTGGGAAGGGAATGGAGATTTTGAAGTATCCTTCCCTCAGAAGTGGAGAGGGAATAGGAATTTTGCAGTATCCTTCCCCTGTGACGCCCACCAAGCCACACTACGCCCACAGAACCGGTAGTAAAAACATTGAACCCCACCAACGCTTGTGACTGTGAAATGGCTCTTGGGCCAAGGATCCTCTTTCTAAGGATCTGGACCCCCAGGAATGGGAGCGAGAATCCTAGATTTGGGCCGGAATCCTTAAAAAGATCGCCCAGCAGGACCCAACTGGCTTGGGAGAAGCAAAGGAGATCTACCTTTTCCCTCGCTGCCGCCTGCTTTTCACGGAGGTATTTTTCACGGCACCGATCACAGACAAGGTACCATGTGCTTCCTCCGACGCCACCGTCGCCACAGTTCCCGGCCCATCCTCCGCAAAAGTGTCCGATGCTGTTGTAGCCCTGTCCGTCTGCATACCGGCCACAACCTTAAAGCAAAGAAGGTCACTTTAGCGTGCACAAGATGACCCTCGCTGAGGGTCAGCCACCTGGGTGCAAGGAAGCTAGATTGAAACATTCCCTGAGAGCCACCCTCTTCAGCCTGGGTTTAATGCAAGAGGAAAAGGCCAGGGATGGCTCAAGTCAAGGCAAGGCTTAATGGTGAACTAACATGCCCGTGGGCACTTGCTTCCCTACTTTATACAGGTAGTCCTTGACTTACAACATTTCGTTTTCCTTGCACAGCACCTCATTTGGAAAAAATTTACATGGCAGCTTTCCAAACTAGATAAGGTCTGTGGTCATAAATACGCCTTTGAAAGACTGTTTACCAGGCGTTTGCGGAATGTGAATGAGAGGGATTCATTTAATAAAAGGGATTCTGCTTGGGACCAGGAATCTGCCTTATGCTTTTGGGGGAAGCCTAGGTCAGTACACAGCCCTCTTACCTGGATGTGCTTGTCTCATGTGATAGGTCACCGGATACGGGTGGGACTCCCCACACAATTCACATATGGTGTCTTTCTCCGGACGCTCCCCGGCAAGCTGAGCCATTTCCCCAAAGAGATTTCCCCGGGGTCTGGCCTCCACCTTCTCCTTCTTCTTCTTCTCCTTTTTGGACTTCTTGTTCTCTTTCTCGCTTTCTTTCTTCTTCAGCACCGCACAGGACCCAGGGCTCGGGAAGATCATGTTCTGGGAAGCTGCCTTGATGGTCGCCAGAGAAATGTCTTCCCAAAAAGCGACCAGGTGCTGCAGCGTTAACGGCAGAGGCGACTTGGTCTTCAGCGGCGGGTGGCCGGAGCTATCGAAGGGAGTTGCTTCAGACTTTCCGTCCTCGCAGCGTTCGTGAAGAGGCGGTTCTTTCAGCATCGACAAGACCTTGTTCTTGTTGATGCTCCCCATTTTGGAGATGTCCGGCCCGTGTGGGGATATGTTGAACATGTTGAGGGCGGAGGATATTTCCAGCGAGTGCCGGTTCTTCAGCTTGGTTTCCTTCTCTTCAGCCGGCGCCTGGCTGAGGTTGCTCCGGATGGGGGCGTGCTCTTTGGAAAGCTCAGGGTTGAACTTCAAAAAGGAGGAGCAGGCCATTGCGTCGTGGACGATGCCTTCGTGCCACAGGAAGGATGCAAAGACGGTCCTGGCACATTCGGCGACCGAAGGAGACATGGCTGGTTTGGCCGGCTCAACTGACCGGGCTCCTTCACCTTTAAACAGGCAGACTGACCTCTCCTTTTTGGGCCTGGCATGCCTGTTGGCGCACTTCCGGCCCGTTTTGGGAGATGCCCTTGTATCCTGCTCCTCTCTCAGAGGGGCCTTCCCTATGCTGAAGTGAACTTTGTTCAAGCCCTCCTCCAGGCTGCTGCAATCAGAGTTGTTTTCCTCGCATATGGTGTTGGTCACGCTGTTTGTTTTCAGTGTGCTGGACGTGCACACCTCAACAACTTCGCTGTGAAGGTTTTCTTGCACCACATGAGGAGAAGGGGCTCGGTTTTCTGTCTCGGCCCCAGATCTCCCTTCCTTGGGTGCCATTTTGGGCTTTGGCGAAGTGGATCTTCCCCGTATGGGTTCGGTGAGAGGCACCTTCTTTTTACGAAGGGTGTCCGGGTCCAGCGTGTAAGAATCCGATTTAGATCGCTCCCGAGGAGGGTCGAGCTTCGTCTTCACCGGGGTTGAGGGTTTCTGAGGAAGAAGGGGCTTCTCGTGAGGAGAAGACGACCTCCGAGAACCAGCGCCAGATGTGCAGGATTTCCCCGATGAGGCGGTCTTTGGAGAAGGGGCCCGAGTTCCTGGGCCTGGGGACTCGGCCCGAAGGGAAGGCGCCGTCCTCCCCTCAGATCTTAAGGTCTGAAGCGTGTTGTGATTTGGGGACAACGATCTGCTGTGGGAATCGGATCTCAGCTTGGCAGTGTCTGATTTCAGCATCAGAGACTCGCTGGCCGACAGGCTCTCTGTGTTCCGAGGCTTCTTCTGGTCGGCAACGGTGTGGCCCCAACGCCCGTCCGATTTAGGGGTCCTGCTTTCCCCCCGATATTTTAAGGCCACGTCTGCCTTCCCTGCTGGAGAAACTGATCTAGCAGCTGCAGTAAAATTCAGCCTGTCACCTGTACAATAAATGTTATAATTGGGTTAAAAAAGGAAAGATTAGTTAAGCCAAACCTTACCATATTGACCCATCATAGAAATTCATTTCACAGTGTTCCCGCAACACCAGAAAACACACACAACCGCTATAGAGAAGTTTCCAGTACTATAGGGAAGAGAGAAAAATATTGACTAAATAGTATATTATAGTCAGAGCCCCAAGCGAAACTCAGTTGTGCAAATTTTGAGCTCCTGTCCCTCAAAAACTGCTTCTTGGTACCAGTAACTGATCCAGAATTACTGTATTTTTCGGAGTATAAGACACACCTTTTTTCTTCAAAAAAGAGGATGAAAATCTGGGTGCGTCTTATACACTAAATACAGCATTTTTGGCCTCCCCAAACCCCAGCCCCTTCACCAAAATGGCCATGCATAGCCTTTAGGAGGCTTTCAGAGTGCTCCTGGAGGTTGGGGAGGGCAAAAACGAGTGAAAAATGGGCCATTTTTGCTCGTTTTTGCTCCCCTAGCCCCCAGGAGCACTCTACAAGCTCCCAAAGCCTATGCATGTCCTGTTTTTTGTGAAAAATGAGCCTGTTTTTGCCCCCCCCCCCAGCCCCCAGGAGCACTTTGCAAGCCTCTCAAACTCTCTGCATGCCCCGTTTTTCACAAAAAAATGAAGTGTGCAGAGGGTTTGGGAGGCCCGCAGAGTGCATTTTATTTTTTAAAAAATTTACCTCTTCAAAATCTTAATGCGTCTTATACCCCGATGTGTCTTATACTCTGAAAAATATGGTACATGGTGGCAGAAGAGATCACAGCAGCAGGATTGGGAGACCAAGAGGGGATCGGAAGTTCCTTTCTATTTCCAAGATGCCCATCTGGATTTAGGAAACCTCTGATGACCAGTGGTCAAGCCCGCTCACATCTTAACAACACCGGCTACACATTCCAGGGCAGGAAAGGGAAGTGTCCTTTTCTCAAGCCAGGATGAACCCACTTATGGTCAAGAATTGGAGGTGATGTCTTAGAGCAGGGACATCACGGTGCACACTGGGAGGAGACAAAGGTGTCAGGGTTCCGACCGATGCCCTAATTAATGTTTGTCTGGAGCCAAGCTTTTGGCCTCTGACATGGGTTCTCTTGGCCCCCTTGCCTTCCTGCTTCAGAGAATCTGACCCAGAGAACTGGGGAGGCTTGCAGAATTATTGAGGGGGGAAATGAAGAGGTGGGGGGAGGTAAGAAAATGGCTCAACTGGAAGCTCCACAGATCTTTCAGCTTACTTTGGAATCCAATGCAGGATTGCTTTTTTAAGGCATCAGATTAAAAATGTTCCATAGTGTCCAGGACAAAACAAAAATTCCGTGACCTGTCAAAACCACGCTCGACTAAACTGCGCCTGACTAAACCGCGTCGCTGACGTCATCAACAGGGTGACAATAGCCAGCGCGGAGAAAGAAGGGTGCTTTAAATAACACTTTGAAAGCAAGCCGATTCAACTTAAGGTAAGGGTTAGGTTTAGGGTTAGGTTTAGGGTTAGGTTTAGGGTTAGGTTAAGGGTTAGGGTTAGGTTTAGGGTTAGGTTAAGGGTTAGGGTTAGGTTAAGGGTTAGGATTAGGTTTAGGGTTAGGTTAAGGGTTAGGTTTAGGGTTAGGTTAAGGATTAGGTTTAGGGTTAGGTTAAGGGTTAGGTTTAGGTTTAGGGGGGTTAGGTTTAGGTTTAGGGGTTAATTTTAGGTTTAGGGTTTACAGCATGCTTCTGTCTCCGCCCTGTTGCCGCCCTGTTGATGACGTCACCGACGCGGTTTAGTCGAGCGCGGTTTTGTCAGTGAACCCAAAAATTCTATGGAGCTTCTCATTTGTCCAGGTCATGGTTGTCCCTAAGGTGCTTTTATTTTAAAGGAAACTGAAGCTTCTTCAGTTCTTGGATGAGAAGCAAAACATCTTAAAGATAAATCAGAAAGTCCAGTTGGTTTTTAAAATAAAAGCACCTTTGGGAAGCATAGCTACAAGGTGTCTCTATGCATATTTTAATAAACACAAGAACTACAAGATGCTGAAAAGGTAAAAACAGTTATTTCAAGACATTAGGAAGCATTTTTTTAAATTCAGTAGTGACCTACCATATTTTTCGGATTATAAGACGCACCTTTTTCCTTCAAAAAAGAGGCTGAAAATCTGGGTGCATCTTATACACTGAATACAGCATTTTTTCCTCCCGAAACCCCACCCCCTTTACCAAAATGGCCATGCATAGCTTTTAGAAGGCTTTCAGAGAGCTTCTGGGGGCTGGGGAGGGCAGAAATGAGCACAAAACAGGTAGTTTTTTGCTCAATTTCCCCACCTTAGCCCCCAGGAGCCCTCTATAAGCCTCCATGCTGCTATGCATGCCCCTTTTTTGGCGAAAAATGGCCCCGTTTTTGCAAAAAAACAGGCCGTTTGATCGTTTTTGGTTCCCCCCCCCCAGGAGCACTCTACAAGCCTCCCAAGGACTATTCATGCCCTCCTTTTAAAAAAAAACGGGCCCATTTTGGCAGGTTTGCAAAGTGCAAAATCCCCCCCCTTTTTTTTGCCTCTTCAAAACCTTGGTGCATCTTATACTCTGGTGCGTCTTATACTCTGGTGTGTCTTATACTCTGGTGCGTCTTATACTCCGAAAAATATGGTACATATCCTATCAAAGCAGGAATTTGCCAAAAAGATTTACAAGAGTTACGCTATTCGGTGCTGATATTATTAAGCCGTTCTTAATATGTTAAAGATGGCTTCGTTGCCAGTCAGCCACGTTCAAAATAATTTGCAGAAAAGATATTGTACAATTTAAAATTAAAAGAAGCATGTTATCAAGTGGCGAAAGACAGTTCTCTATTTGACTCCACTCTGTTCAGCAGCTGCTATTGAACAATTAAATCAGACTATAAAGAGAGAGTGCCCGGATTCATTTATAGCAAAGGCTAAGAGGACATAGCAAACCATTCAGACTCTTATTATGTCCATTCAAGGTGGGACACAACTAGATAAGAAATGTCTACGGAGATTCTCAGTCATCCAGGTCACAGTTGTCCCAAAGGTACTTTTTCAAGAGGCAACTGGACTCTCTTATTTTTCTTTGAAGACGTTTCGCTTCTCATCCAAGAAGCTTCTTCTGCTCTGACTGGAGGGAGGGGAATGGAAGGATTTATTCTCCTTGCAGACAGCTGGTTATTTGCATTCTTTTTAGAGAGTCGCTGAGGCCACTTGGAGGTTTGTCTGTGTCCCGCAAATGACCAGCTTTCTGCAAGGAGTATAAATCCTTCCATTCCCCTCCTTCCAGTCAGAGCTGAAGAAGCTTCTTGCATGAGAAGTGAAACGTCTTCAAAGAAAAACAAGGAAGTCCAGTTGCCTGTTGGAAAAAGCACCTTTGGGACGACTAGACAAGAAGTGTTTCTTCACATCCTTTTGGGTTTGCACAGGTGTGCTGACTATTGTGTTTGGGCGTTAAAATCGCAGAGGCCCGTGCTGCTGCTAGTTGGAACACCTCTCCTGTACAGCAGAAGCCACGGTCTGACGTGTCAGCCAAGCCACTCTTGAGCCTACACAGAAGCGTTTTGGAGCTGAATGGAATGAGATGGACTGGCAGGAAAAAAAACCCTCGCGTCCCGGGACAGAGGGGGCCCCCTTCTGAGCAAGTGTCTCCGGCAGCATGCATACCCACCCTGCAGCTTGTATGAGAGAGATGAGAGAGCGGAGGCAGGCACGGGAGCATCGCTACTTTGGTCAATGCGCTCACGACAAGCAAGGCCGCGGGGTGGAGTTTCTAGAGGGGAAGACAGTGGCACACAAGGAGCACAGATTGAAAGGGGAAAAGAAAAGACAAGTAAAACCAGCAAAGCAAAGCAAAGCAAAACCAGAGCTGAATATATATATATATATATAT